GGACAAAATCATTTCCTCAAAATTGTGAGGACAAAAATGTCCTCAAAATATTGAGGGCAAAAATGTCCGCGTTGATAAGGTCACATGATCACTGCTTAATATTGGCCAATAAAAACCGTGGTTTCCATAGAGGATATAACCTATGCATTTGAGACACGATGGATAAGGTTATATCCTTTGCCGATCAGGCTAATGGGGTGGTAGCTTTTGAAATAATGCCAAAATGACCTCCGTCGATCTTTTCCATATCTAATAACTCATTTCTATTAATAATCCTAGTGTGTTTTTTTATTAAATTAATAAACTGTGATGCTGAATTTTTATTCATTTCAACTAACTTATTAAATACTAGACTAATTGATGGTCTTTTATCTGGTTCATTATTCCAACATGATTCACATAAATCCAAGTATTCAACAGGAATTGGAGTCTCTCTACAACCATCTATATTATGACTTTTTGAAATATTTTCAGTTTTAGGAGGATAACCACTAGTTATTTCCCACATAAGAACGCCTAAACTATAAATATCTGACTTCTTATCATATTCGTAAGAATAATTTTCTAGAAGTTTTGGATCAATATATGAAATCATTCCATAATCACTAGAGTAACCAGATTCCGTAATTTTTACGAAATCAAGCACAATTTTAGCTTCATTTTTATGTATTACAATATTGTTAGGGTTTAAATTTTGATGTAGAATGTCTTCATTATGAAGATATTTTATTCCTTCGGTAATTTGATACGATAATTTTATTTTATCATCCCAACTTAATTCTAAAAAATGACTCTTGAGATACTGGCGCAAATTTCCATCTTCAGCATGCTGCATGATGAGTAAACATTCCTCTGCACTTTCATCTGCAAATGAAATAATAAATGGGTATTCATTATAGGGGTATGTATTGTATAAATATAAATAATGGTAATATGAACTTACCTAAACTTATTCCTAATATTTGTACAAATCTTGAATAAAAATTCAATTTTCTATGCATCTTTAATTCATGAATGAAAGCCTCATTTAATTGATCAAATTTATATTTTTTATAAATAACCGCCTGTTTTTTCCAAGTAGTGTTTCCATTAATGTCTGAAAGTTCACCTATATTAATAATTCTTCTAACTAAAAAATTATTTTTAATCAAATTAATTATTTCTGACATTTTCAAATTTGTATTGGTTTGAGTATACATTTTTCCTAATTTGCTGAAAACTTGATTAATAGATGGTCTTTCATTTGGTTCAGGATCCCAACATGATTCATATAGATCCAAGTATGCATTAGGAGTTTTAGGAATTGACTTTTCTCTATGCCCATTTATTAGATCGATTACTAAATGATTTTCAGCTTCATTATAAATGAAAGGAGGATAACCACTAGTTAATTCCCACATAAGAACTCCCAAACTATAGATATCAGACTTTTTATCATATTCATAAGATTGATTTTCTAAAAGTTTGGGATCAACGTATGGAATCATTTCATCAGAAACGCTCAAATAATCAGTTTCTATACTTTTCATAATATAAAGGATGATTTTAGCTTCATTACTATGTATTACTATATTTCTAGAATGCAAACTTTGATGACAAATATCTTCATCATGAAGATATTTTATACCTTCAGTTATTTGATAAGAAAATTTCAATTTATCATTCCAAGTTAATTTTGAAAAATGATCTTTAAGATACCAGCGTAAATTTCCACTATCAGCAAATTGCATAACGAGTAAATACTCTTCGGTATTTTTATCTGTAGTAAATAGTAAATGAACATTTGTTATCATAAAGCAATAAAAATGCTAAATTTGACAAAACCTACCTAAACTTATGCCTAATACACGTAAGATTCTTAAGCATAAATATAGTCTTTTGCGCTTATTTAGTTCATGAAAAAAGGGTCTATCTAATTGATTACATTTAATTCTTCTACAAACAACTATCATATTTGTTTCTTTTGTTTTCAAAGTGGCTTTTGAAATCTTGCAAAATTTGTCATTATTAATAGGAGTCATCATTGTTAATTCATCAATATTAAAAACTTTAACTAAACTAGATTCTCTAATATATTTGATCATTTCTAACGGTTCTAAATTGTTATTTTCTGGTTTTTGAGTAATTATTTCTTGAGAATTAGATTTTGAATAATCTTCATTATTATCTGCAACAAGAAATTCTATACATTTCGAATTTAATGAAGTTAAGTGGTTATTATGATAAATTGATGACCACAAGTTCAATAAAACATTGTACACTTCATGGATATTAGGACGTAAGCATGGTTCAGTATTCCAACATCTTTCCATTAAGTCTTTGAAACTTTTTGGAATATTATGTGGAGTATGTGGTCTTAGTCCCAAACAAATATCAAGATTTAAAGACTGACTAATGCACAATGGACGATGAGGAATAATTCCGGTTCCAATAGTATGCATTATCATCCCAAATGAATAAATATCACTAGATTTTGTATAGGGACTTTGAAGCAAGTATTCTGGTGCCATATAATGATACCATCCAACTATTTCTTCTGTATTTGATGAGACTTTACAACATTTTGAGAATGTTCCTATGGCACAAAAATTATCATCAAATACTAATACGCTAGATGGGTGTAAATATCTATGAACATATCCAGCGTCATGTAATACTTTTAAATCCTCAGCAAGACAAAGAAGTAAATGTAATTTCATCTCCCAGTATAAACTATCAAAATTAAGCGGAATGTAATTTAATAGTGAACCATTTTGAGGGAACTGTTTTACAGCAAAATAATCATTACTGTCAGGTTGTTTAGAGATCCCATAGAATTGAAATAAAAAACCACATTCTTGAGCGTGACAATCTAAATATATTTTGAGCTATACCAAAAAAAAGAAAATACATGCAAAGTTAAGATATATTACGCATCGGAATAATGAAAGAATTAGCACTCAAATCATTGTGCGATTACTTAATAAATATTTATATAATTAAATTAGATTATTAATCTTACCTCGTTTAGAATTTCGTTGATTTGATCAATATCATTGCTATCTTTATATAATTTGATGATAACTTGAATTCCAGATCTCTTATATTGTTCGTTTTGCTGGTCCCATTTTCTTGGTCCATCTTTCCAAAAAGCTGAATATACCGTACTTCTTGATGTTGTACATAAAATACTTATATTTTCAAGTTTGCCAAAAGGAATCCATTCTAGGAAAGTTTGAGGTTTTATAGAATTCAATTGTGTTTCTTGAAGAAATTCATCAATTTCCTTATTTCCGCTAGTCCATTTTGTGAGATTTTCTTCAATTTGTTTTCGTTCACACGGTTGACACCATTGATAATGACTTCTTGGCTGTTTACATTTCATGCATATTCCATATATTGGTTTCACTTCTTTCAATCCTTCTAAATTTTTTTTTTAAAAAAAGTTAAATCGGATTACGTACATTAATAAGCACTTGAATTATTTTCGAAAAATAAAGTGCAATACCTTCGCTCTCTTCCAATAAAGTTTGTGATTCTTCAACAACAACTTTGTTGTTCAAAATTTGGTTATTGAAATTCTGTGAATCGTTATTTTTATTCAGCTCCATTATTCGTATTATTCGAACTACTAAGTGCCGTTAAGGTAATGCGAGATATGCACAAAATTGTAGATCATTTAAAAACTTTGTTATAATTTATAACTTGTAAAAATTTGTACAACCAATTCATGTCCCACTTAAAACTTGATTCATTTGTTATTGTTACACACGGAGTTTTTAGCGTTTGATATTATGTATATTCGACGATCAATCAACGAAGCGCAATCATAACGCCAATCACTATATATATAGGTTTATAGATTAAGACAAATTGCTAAAGGCGGATTTGCTGAAGTTTTTCTGCGACTTGGCTAGATGGTAACTCACTTTATTATGAAGATAATGAAAAAAATTAGATCCTGAATCTAAGAAAGTTGCTTCGAAAAATTATATCACAGAATATGTCAGCTGAATATTTAAATGGGTATGTATCATATTATATTTATACGTTTTGTTTAATATTGACATGCTTACATTTATTATTTATTATATATAGATTAAATACATTGGAACTTATATAAATTAGGAAGAAGTCAATACTTACAATTCTTAGATTTTTATGGAATAATTAAGGATCCAAAAACAAAAGAATTTATTATGATTATAAAATTTGCAAATAAAGGAAATTTGAGGAGTATTCTTTCGAGTAATTTGAGAATTTCTTTTGGACAGATAAAATTTCTTTGTTATGTGATTTACCGGAAAATATTAAAAATTTACATAAATTAAGAGTTATTCATAAAGATTTTCACGTTGGAAATATCATACAGAATGGACCAATAAACAAAAATCAAATAAAATATACGGGTATGGTATATGTTGCCCCAGAAATTCTCAGAAGAAAGCCCTATAGTTTATCAACTGATATTTATAGTGTTGGTATAATTATGGCTGAGAATATCAACTTTTCATGATATTGCCATATTGGATGGACATGATGAGTTTCTTAGCAAAGAAAATATGTGAAGGACTCAGGAAAGTAACCCTAAAAGTTTTAAGTAAATTGGCTAATAGGCTGATCTATATCAAAGACCAACAGCTAAAGAATCTATGTAACTAAACCAGGAAAACAGAAACAGTTTAAGTTCCTTAGCGTTGCATAACTCGCAAGTGTTACGTGATCTAAGTGTCATATACTATTTATTTGGGGTCATATAGGTAGTGTTGCATAAATCGCGATACATATTCAAAAAAAGGAAATAAAATTGTCGGTTGTGACAGGGACAAAAACGGGTGTTAAAACAAATTTTGCTAGTACAGTATGGTAAATAGTTCTCGCTAACGCTTCGGACAAAAATTGTTTTATAACCGATATTCAATTTAGATTAACTTGTGTAAATAATTTGTGTGATTCATCTGCTCCTGATCTACAGTATTTCATATTTTTTTTATAGTTAGAAATTTTGATCGACAGATTCCATTGACTTCGGATCAACAGATTGGATTTTGAGCGTTTGTATGCCCATCAATCTAACCTCTCAGAAAAAAGGTGTAAATTTGGCTTTTGCCTTTACATTATAAATTTTATAATTTTCTTTATTATGCATAAGTAAATAATATGGAGCATAGTATTTTATTTATTTTAATAATAGAGGTGAAGAGGTAATGTTCTCAATTAATTTTTTGCAAAATTTCGTCTTAGGTTAACCATTTTTGAAAATCCAATTTTTTTGTGATGACCGGTAAAATGTTCATGTGAATTTAAATACCACGTATACAATTTAATTATTTTTAGTTTCCGGTAAGCAACGGGTTACATTTAGTTGTATACTGTAATAAATTATTGATATAAATTTATTAATGATTATTACTGTGAAGATTATCAAGAGATATCAAATACTTCAACCTCATATGAAGAGAATGTTACGCATAGTGAAGCTGTGTAAATTACTCGATTTCAAAAATCTGCTCGAACCAAAACAATGCTTATAATTACGATGATTTATTTGACACAGAATTTTCAGGTATTTTGATTAAAATATTAAATATTTAAATAAAAAAAAATACTAATAAAAACTTTATGTATTAAATAGATTCTTGCCGATTTTACTAAATTGGGTATTAACTCTAAAGGTAAATTTTTTTGAGTTTTAATATTAATATAATTTTTTTTCTTATTCATACATAACATTTTGTCTGATTTTTAGATGAATCAAATTAATAAGGTAAAGATAAAATCTAGGACTAATAATAATTCCTATTTACATTTTCAAAATTATCAACATCTTATTGTGGTTTAACTATATAATTTATTTTTATAATAGTCAAATTAATGGTTCTTATCAAGAATTGTTTAAAAAGGTACATCATTTTGTTTAAATATATACATGTTTTATTTGTTTTTTTGTGATTAAATACACTCATTAGTCATTAAATTATTTCCTAGCTCTTAAACGCATAAAAAATTATTTCATCTTCAATATTTATATTAATATATTATTTAAAGTGAAGAATAAATAAAATTAATGACTGTTATTATATATAATTTCTTTCAAACCTACTAAATCTAACTTTAACCCCTTATACCATGTGATGTATAGTGGATGACAAATAATGTTTTCATAGTAAAAAATTCTGTTCTTAGAATAGGCGGTGAAAAATGTGACGAATTTCCTAACGCTAATCCGCCCTGTCGCAACTTCCTAGAAATAATTATCTGAATTGAAAGAACATGTTATAATTTTTTTTTTAATGTTATAAAAAAACATTTAAGGAAATAAAAATCATATTTAAAACTTTCGCCTAATCAGTTAAATTTTTAAAACAATAGCCCTGTTCATTTCCGGTCGGTTGCATTTTTCGGTCAGATTTTGTTGTACAAAATTATCCAATAAAATTTTTTTATTTTCGATCGCAAATTGAACTGCTTTAGATTGAAATTTAGTTCGAACTCCTTATATTGATATATATTTTTTCCTTAAATGTCACGTAAATAGAAATTATCTAATTTTGGTTGGTTATTTTTTGGCGTTCGACCAAAAAACCCAAAAAAAAATTGGGCTAAAAGTTCAGAAAATGGTTGCATTGTACAAACTGATCAGCCCAATCAAAATTAACTTAAATCTGACCGAAAAATGTGACCAACCGGAAATGAACAGGGCTAATATTAGACAACTTATAATGGCTTAGTGGAAAATATTATATGGATTCTTTTTAAAATATATCTTATAATTCAAATATTTAAATACTATTGTATTCCAGAAGATAATAAAGGTAAATTTAATATAATTTTCTTATTGGTTTATTCAAGTATTAAAGCATAAATATTATAATTTCAGACGATGATGGTTCGAACTCGGATAATGAAGAAATAGAATACGAAGAAATGGAGGAAGAAATCATAGATGAAACTGAACTGATCTGTAGATCCGTAGGCGAAGAAATTGATTAGAAAAAATTACAAGATATTGCGGGATATCATGGTTAAGTATATTAAACAAATTTTTAATTAAGTTTAACTCGTATGAAATTTACTAATCTGTGGCAAGGTTGGATTTGTCTATCTGGGTAGTTTACTATGTTAGATAGGGGAACCAGTAGTTCTTCTTAGTTTGTAATGTTTTGTATTAATAGTCTTGTACTGTTCTTATTACTCTAATAATAAATTGACTTACAACCTTAGCGCAAAAAAAAAAAAAAAATTCACTAATCTGATCATTATTCAAAACTCGGCATCACTGAGATGAATTTTCTTTTTTTTTTTTAAAATAAAATTAATATTTGTTAATTATATTGATGTGTTTCAAATTTTCTATCAAGGGACACAACGTTTTTCCTTATTGATATTAACTATTTTTTCATCTAAATAAATATTTTGCTGATCAATTTGAACACAAATTGTTCGCAAATATTGTTGACTTATTAACTCTTATTAACTGATAAAACAAAAAAACAGATGACACGGGATTGTACTATATTATACAGTAATAATTTTAATGTGCACATAATGGAGTACATAAATTTAACGTTTGATGTATTTTAACTAAAAAAATGTCATACAGAAAAAGTGTATATGTGAAAATTGTGCGACCAATTTAAGGTGTCTGGATGGTGTAAGACACCAAGACAGTCAGTTAATGATTACAATGATATAATATTTGAATAAATACCTTATGATCAATTCAATGATACAGTAATAAGTCATGGTAGTTTTTCTACAATTTTTTTCAGAAAATGGTCCATTAAAATATGATTTAAATAATAAATATGGAAGATATTCAAATAAAAAAGTCGCAAAAAGATGTACATAATATCATTGGTTGGATTTCTAAATGAGATATGAAATTTCTATTTTACTTTTATATAATAATAAACTAATTTTAATGATTTATTAATAGGCTAAAGCGTATTGATTAGACGACGTTCTTCAAATACATGAAATTTCTCAAAATCCTATTACAAAAAATTATATTTTTGTTCTTGAATATTCAGAAGGAGGGAAATTTGACGATTGGTTCAAATAAAATCCTCGTATTGAGTTATATTATTAATGGATTAGAATTCATCAAAGTCAAATGATCCATCGTGATCTTAATACAAAATATATTATTTAGGTATAATGGTACATATATTTCGGACATGTCATTATGCGGAGAAATTGACAATGCATTTGAACCAAGCTTATGGAGTATTGCCTTATGTAGCTCCTGAAGCGTTAAAAAAAAAGCCTTATACTCAAGCGGCAGATATATATAGCTAGTTTGGTATAATTATGTATTTTATTGCAATCGGATAACAACCTTTTGACAACCACCATCACGATACACTTTAATATAAATATATGTAATAGAATTAGTCTGCCAGAAGTACCAGAATGTTAAGTTAATTTAATGAAAATTGTTGGGATCCAAATCCAGAAAATAGATTAAATGTTGTTGAAATAAAAGAGACGATTATGTTATTTTACTATTCATATACTTCGACTTTTATTAAAAAGGGAAAGATTATGATAATCATGAGATTGAAAGTCAATTCAAGAACATAGGAAAGCAGAAGAATACAAGAAAGCC